AGGCAGGGGTGGGGAGAGGCAGGGAGGAAGCAACTTACCCTCCCTCTTCTCCTGCCTCCTCCTGGCTGAATGAGGGCCGGAAGCGGGGCCGTCGGAAGCAGGGGGCAGGGCTTCGTCATGTGCCCTGCCCCCGTACCTCACCCGGGGGAACTGCGATCCCCCGCGATCCCCCCCGAAATGACCTCTACTGAAGTGTATAATTTGCAACTCTTCCCCTACACAGCACATTAGTTTTCCATTGCGTATCTTAAACAGGGCTCTTTTCCAGAAAGAAATCTGGAAGGATAATTTTCAAGAAAGAATAACATTTTCTTTAAAAAAGAATAAACCCAGCAATTTTTTCAGACTCCCGGAACAGTAAAAAATAGTCTGTTGATACACTTTAGTTCCTAGCAGGGCTCTAGTCGGGGGGGAGCTCTCAGGTACGGAGCTCCGGAAGAGAACCTCTAGGGGGCGGGGCGGTCACGTGGTGAAGCCCCGCCCCCTTCTTTACCCCGCCCTCTGCTTCGATCCTCATTCCGTTTGGGAATGAGGATGAAGCAGGAGGGTAAGTAGCCGGGCCTTCTGACACACTTCCGGTGATGTCAGGGGGTGTGGCCTTCTGTCACTTCCGGTGATGTCAGGGGGCGTGGCATATGCAAATAAGTTATGCTAATGAGTTATGCTAATGAGCTCCGGCACCTCTTTTTCTACAACAAGACCCCTGGTTCCTAGCATTGTGATGTTTTAAAATTTCTAACCTTTGCAAACAAAGCACTTCACAATGCGCTTGTAAGATTATATTTGGTTATGGAGCAACCTGAGCATTTATTTTAGACAGCTAGAGTACAAGTCCTCAGAGAAATCAGAAGGTGAATGTGTTTTGAAGAAACATCTGCCAGATACATATTTTCTTGACAGGAAGGGAAAGGGGCAAAATGTCTGAAGCAGCTGGGCATGAGCTCAGACCAACATGGCTACCAGCAATCACTGCCTACTTTGCACATCACAGGATTTCAGGGCCCAATTAAACGTGAACTCTCAGCTTGTGCCAGGTTTCAGCAAGGCTTACAGATCTCCTACTAGAGGTCCTACTAGAACTGAGTGCACCCTAGAATGTACTCAAAGCATTCCACTGAAGTGTGCATCCCCTAAGAGCAACAGTATTTTGTATCCCATTTCCAAATATTCTCATAGTGGTCATGGTCCTAAAAGCTGCTCCACTGCTCACAACAATAGATATTAACAGGGCTATTTTTGGGCAGGAACGCACAGGAACGGAGTTCAGGCTGGCTCCCAAGTTGACCACGCCCAGCAGGAACTCATTAGCATAATAGGCCACACCCAATAGCAGAAACTCATTAGGATTGGCTACACTAGGGGTGTGGCCTAACATGCAAAGGAGTTCCTGCTACAAAAAAAGCCCTGGGTTTTGACAACAAACAAGGTAAACAGAATAAGAAGCAAAAGGTGGGTGTGGCTGGATGACTAAACTTCTGGTGACATGGGGTGTGGCCTAATATGCTAATGAGCTATGCTCTCATGGTTGTGGCTGGATATGCTAATGAGTTTGTTGTTGGATGTGGCCTATTATGCTAATGAGTTCCTGCTGGGCTTTTTCTACAAAAAAAGCCCTGGATATTAATGACCTACCAGGATAAAAGTGCGAATCGTGCTTTGGAGGAAACCCCTGTTTCATTAGTACTTTTCTGGTGTCAGCTGTTTCCTATCCTTGCAGAAGCACAGTTGTGCTGTACAAGATCATATTGTTTTGGGGAGAGCTGTTTGTGCCCCCTTTCTAAGGTGTTCAGCATTCTCAAGCCTCTTTTAGGACATGGGAGAAAGTACAGGCCAGCATCTTTATATAAAGTCCATGCCGTTGTAGTAAAACTACTGTAATCGCTAACACTACTATAGTTAATGCCAACCCATGGGTTCGGGGTACCTGAAACTTGACAGACTCCTGAACTAACGTGAGAAGACAGACATTCTCCCTTTCCTAAAACTATCCACTATTTATAGCAATACTTCAGACACTACAAAGGTAACGCTCGCGGAATGTGAAAAACAAACAGTCTGCAAGAAAGGAAACCAGATTTATGGGAGTACACATGAAGTCACAGTTCCCACTTAAAATGTCTATTGCAAAGTACTTCATACTTCTCATCTTTTAAATCAGGGGTCCCCAAACGTTTTGAGCCTGCAGGTGCCTCTGGAATTTTGACATGGCATGGTGGGCACTGGCATAAAATGGCTGTCGCAAGAGGCAGAGCCAGCCGCAAAATGATTGCCATAGCTTTACCTCAGTCACACAGTGAAGATTCTTGTGCTGAGGTGACAGCTGCTGCCAAAGCAACATTTTAAAAAAATCTCCATGGCCAATCAAATCTCCAATAGCCATTTAGAAGTTTTGCTGGGCAAAAGCCCTACCTGACTCCACCAACTTCCTAAAAACACTTGGTGGGCACCAGAAAAGGTGTCGGTGGGCACCATGGCACCCACAAACACCATGTGGAGGACCCCTGTTTTAAATAGTCATAGAAATAATACGCTACTTCGCATTTTTTTCTTCTCTATCTTAACTTAGCCATTAATTCATGGTGCAAGGAAATTAAGCAGTTTACAATTTTTTAAACACAGAAGTAGCACAATTTTGTGAAAGCCATGAAATCATGTTAATATTTTGCTGCTAAGCAGCTCAAATGAAAGCAAACATGTTAACAGGGCAAAGTAAAGTTAATATAAACAAGAAGCTTTTACTGATAGCAGATTATTTTAAAGTCATGCTGTTGAAGCTGGAAAGCGAGGCTAGAATAGTAAAATACAAATAATGGGGGGGCAGGGAAGTACAAAATACAAAGAAGGTGGTATTTTCAATTAGTTAAGCAACAAGCACGGAATAAAAAGCCAAACAAAAATAAAGACAAAAAACAAATGATCTGGCAATTCCAAAGTGTTTTGTAAGAGGAAATAAAGTTACTAGTTACTTTGTTGTCATCTTTACAGAGGAAGAGAGCGAAGATCTGCCTAAGTCAAATACCAGTTTTCGAGGAACAGCAGAGGAGGAGCTAAACAGCATATAAGCAAACAGTTATAAAGAGACTGTTAAACACACACTTCACAAGATATTCAGTGTGAGTAACATTTATGGATTTTTTTTAATTTGAAGAAGTGAGAACTGGCTTGTGATGAGTCACATTAAAATGACACTCCACCTGGGCAACATTTATGAAACAAAGTGAAAGTCACTGAACAAGCAGCAAGCGGTGCGACATTTCTCATATTGCATTACCATTTGCCACAAATGACATCTGTTACAGTATCTGCCATGCTTGCAGCCATACATGACCACAGAGGTGAAAAAAGCTCAGCATGAGACATGAAGAAGTTGAAACGCCGCTCTTTAGTGTCTGTTTTACTCAGACTTTCAACCAAAAATGAAACAGATAATTCTGAAAGCACTTAGTAATAATCTCAATGACTTTAATGGGACACTACTGTCAGTACTTGCTATCTGTTACACAAAGTAATGTAGGCATACTTCTGGTAGCCAGTAAAACGCACAAACAGCACAGATTGCCAGACAACAAAGCAGAGTCTCATTACTGAGATTTTGAAAAAAACAGGTTGCTTACCTGTAACTGGTGATCTTCGAGTGGTCATCTGTGCATTCACACCCATGGGATACAGTGCGCCTGCGCTGGATCGATCAGTATTGTAGCAAGCTCTTAACGGATTTTCGCATCCAGACCTCAGGCATGCGCAGGAACCCTACCACGCATGCCCAGAGGGGTGGGCGCAGACATCCCGCCAGTTCCTTTCTTTCCGCCGCGCTGGAAGCACCTTCCTTTCATTGGTCAGAGTGGTAGCTATTTTCCTCAGAGGCTCTTCGGATTTCTCTTCAGTTTTTCTCTTTCTTTTCCACGGTATCAGAGTTCCATGCCGATATCGACCCAGATCACCATCGACAGATCCCTAAAAACACTCAAAGTCATCCTCCCTGTCTGTTTGCCGAGGATTGGCCTTTCAATATCGATGATCGGGCTAATAGGGGCCGCTCACGGAGACGAGATGCTACACTGTCTCCCAGACGCTCCTGCTCTAGGAGTAGATCCCCACGAGCTTGCTACAATACCGATCGATCCAGCGCAGGCGCACTGTATCCCATGGGTGTGAAGCACAGAGACCACGTCGAAGATCAATAGTTTGAAGTGGACACAGTTTGACTAAGATGTCTGAATCAACACAAATTCAGATTTGACATCCCAAACTATTGAATGCTGCAATTGTAACATACTGGTTTGACATTGTGGAAAACTGTGAAGTAGGGATGTGTATTCAGATATTAACTAATCAAGATATAAACTGAAAATGTCTCCTTTATTAATATAAACTGTCCCAAATTGGAAAAACTAACTACCATCAGTAGCAGTTCAGTCTGGGGAGTTATTCTGATATCACCTAGTTTAGGTTTCAACAAGACTGACTAACCCTAACCCTATTGCTAAGAATTAATGTATTAAGGAAGTACTGTTGACACTGACAAATAACTATTTTTGGATGGTTTAAAAATTGTATCTATAGTATCCATAGTTTAAAAATTGATTAGTTCAAAATTCATACACTTAAATTCCCAGCTCAATAACAGTTGAGCTCATCTCTTTGGTAGATCCATGAAGCAAAAGAGGGAGGGAGACATTTTATTCTGAGTAAGTCAACAGTAGCTTCTTCTAGCATATGAATACAGAAGTTCAAGATCTGAGTTTTTGTATGATTATTCTAATAATTCTGGTTTTGTGTTAATCATTTTAATGAAAATGCAGTGAGGACAATAAAGGACCATTTCTCTATATAGTTGCAATTATTTGCTATCAAAAAGGAAATATTATATTGATATTTTATTAATATGATAATTGATAAAATTATTCAGTATTTCTTTTTGCAGAACACGTTTTAGGTAATATTTTTATGGTTCAAGAGTTAAAGTCCCCCCAACATGAAATCACTGAGATTAAAAAAAACACCAGGAAATGGAAAAATGAATGACAGAAAAGCCCTGAGAAGAAATGGACACAAATATCAGAAAATACTGATGTGAAATCAAGACTTTCACAAAGTGCATAATCACTCTTACCTTGAATCCTGAAGGTCTGGATAGGCACACACTCTCAAGGTTTTTGAATTGGAGCCGACAGCATACATACTGCCACTTGGATGAAAAGCCACAGCTCTGACCGCCTGTGTATCTTCTAGGGTATTGATACAAATGAACTGTTTTGCTGATTTGTCATCCTGTTATAGGGAAAATGGGAATATATGTGACTGTCTCTACAGTTTTGTAGTTTCTAGAATTCTAGAAATAAATTTTCATTTTTATTTAGAAAAAAACATGTTCCATCTCTGTGGATTTGCTTACACATTGGATTTTTATATCAAAATAAAATATATCTTTGCAACACACATTACAGTTCTTCAGGATTTTTTTTATTAACCTCCCCTGGCAAAAATAAGCATTTTAACATTATGTTGGGAGTCTGGACTATTCATTCTATATTATCCAAGTACCTCCAACATACTAGTATATGCTACAATGTCAGATATTAACATTTTTGATATAGGGTAAAGGGAGAGTAGAGGAACCACATTCCAGGGCATATACTATTTTTAAATATTTGAACTATAATATTACATTTCCATCCTATGGGGAAAAGCCCTGTTGTGTTGATCTGAGTAAACAGCTTGGCCAACACTGGAGCCCACCAATCAGGGGAAAATATAAGTAGCCCAGGGGAAGTCATGTCCTCCTCTGACATTTTGCTAGAAGAAAAGACGACAATCAGGCCTTTGATTTCAGAAGCCGGTAAGGGAGGCCACTGGGGCAAGGTAGTTAAATCAGTAGGAAACACCGCTCACTGGCTTCATTAACAGAATCAAGAGCAATAAGGGTCCCAAAGATCTGACTAAAGTGTGTGAGCCAACCTTTGGCCAAGACCTGGGCATCCAACTTTAGTCAGGCTTGTGGAGACCAGAACTTGGATTCTTTCTAAGTTGGCCAGACCCAGCTCTTGCCACTTTAGTCTGGTAAAAACATACTTCCACTTGCTTGAGGAGCTTCTTGTAGGCTGACCTTTGAGGTATGACAGCGGCAAGAGAGGCTCTGCTTTTATGGTTATGCACCTGTTGTGCTCAGTGAACAAGTGCCTTCCTACCCACTCTGCATTCTTGGTCAAACAAGCCTACATAAGGATGTTAACATGCTCTGAAACTCTTTCCTGGAAGACCCATCTGGCGATAACAATGGCTTCAGTCACAAGAACAACTGGGACAATTCTTAAGTTTTATTGTTCAAAAGGCTGAAATAGATCCTACCTTGAAATGTATTCAGAGTACTTCTGTATGGGGTTAAAATCTAGGGCTGGAATGACAGCACAGTCACAAGTTTGGAGAGAACACAACTCCTTTTAAGAATTTTGACTCTGCTGGAGGGTATACCAGCTGCCTTGCTGTGAACTGAAGCTGGGTTGCCCACCATCAGGGCTTCAGCCCATATTATTTTAATGAACTACTGGAGTAAACGTAGGGTTGACGGACCCCTCAATGGAGTCAGAGGTCCCCTGCTGCCAAGCCCCACCCCAGCCACTGGTTAGCTGGCTGGCAGGGATGGGGACTTACGAGGACAAGGGAGAAGGCCAAGGCCTCATTGCCAGCATTGCATAGGAAGTGACATCGTCACACCAGCAACATCTGGGTGATGCTCTGGTACTTGGGCAAAACTATGGTAGAAGCCAGTTTTACCATAAGTTTTCCCCCAAATACCAGAGTGCTGCCTGGATGTCACTGGCATGATGACAACACTTCCTGTGAGACACTGGCAATGAGGCCTAGGCCTTTCTCCTCGCAAGTCCCCCCCATCCCCCACTGGCTGCCAGGGGTAGGGTTGTTGGGTCCCCCTGGCCCCTGGTGGTGGGTATGGTTGGGGAACTCCTGGAGATATGAGGGTGGAGCCTGGGGAGGACAGGGACCTCAGTGGGGTACAATGCCACAGAGACCACCCTCCAAAAGCACCCATTTTCTCCATGGGAACTGATCTATGTAGTCGAGCTGTAATTTTGGCGGATATCCAGGTCCCACATGGAGGCTGGCATCCCTAGCCAGGAGAAACCTGGCAACCCTAAGTAAACTGAAAAACTCTCAGTCTAGTTGTCTATCAAGGCTGTGTTTTATCCAGATGCAGAACAGTACCACCTGGGTCAATGGTTATCAAAGGGTGGGTGGTCAGTTAGTAGGGTAGAAGGTTTGTTAGGATAGATAAGGTTCTTTTTTAAGGTTAACAGCAATATAAGAACTTGTGAACTGCCATTAGGAGCACCACCCTAGGTTTTACCATCTATTCAAGGACTAGTGGTCTGAGGCCCAGGGTAGCAAAGATCATTAGAGACTGATAATGATGGACCAGGGAATACCAGTGCTCTGGGGGAGGGGGAAGTACAGTGGTGGGACCAGGCAGAAATGGAAGGGAAGGGGGCAGAGAAATAGAGAAGCTCAGCCACCTTCCAGCCTGTGTCCCATCCCAAAGGTGGCAGGCAGTGGGGCGAGGATTAAAAAACCCACTCCGACACTGGTGTTGTGCAACGCCAGGTCCATTAATAATAAGACCTCAGTCCTTCGTGACTTCCTGCTGGAGCAGGACACGGATTTGGCCTGCGTGACCGAGACCTGGGTACAAGATGGGGAGACAGTTGCTCTCTCCCAGTTGGCTTCTCCCGGATTCTCGGTCCTTCACCAATCTCAGACTATGGGGCGGGGGGGGGAGTGGCTCTGTTCATTCAGGAGGCTTACTCCTTGAGGGCGTTCCCGGCATCGAGGCTCACAGGTATTGAGTGTGCCGGCTTTGTGTGGGAAGCCAGGGAAAGTCTGGCTGATTGGCTGGTGTACCGACTGCCCAACGCACCGGCTGATAGCCTGTCACCCCTGGTGGAGGTTGTGTTGGGCTGGGCACTGGAGCACCCTAGACTAATAGTCTTGGGTGACTTCAATATCCATTGCTGACGTTGTGGCTTCCTCACAGGAGGTGGGCCTGGTGTCGTCCATGGCGGCACTGGGACTCTCCCAATATGTAACGGCCCCCACTCACCAAGCCGATCACATGGTTGATTTGATCTTCACGGCGGGGGTCACAGTGGACTGGATTACTGCAATGGCAGTTCCATGGTCGGACCACCATGCCCTGAAGGCCCGAGTGAATGTGCCACCCCAACCCTGTTTGGGCAGTGAGTGGATTTTAGCTTGCCCGCGGAGTCAAATGGACCCTCTGTGGCTTCAGGTGGCTCTTCAGGATCCAATGCCCCCTGGCGGCTCGTCAGATGAGTTAGTCGAGGACTGGCATGGCCAACTCACAACAGCCATCAACAAGATCGCTCCCAGACACCCTCCACGCCCTCGCTCTAGGCTGGCTCCCTGGTATACCCAGGAGCTGAGGCTGATGAAGCAAAGGCTTAGACGGCTAGAGAGACGGTGGCGGCGTGCTTGCGACGAAGCAACAAGAGCATTTTATAGGACGTTTATGAGATCCTATGAGATGGCAGTCAAAGCTGCGAAGAGGGAGTTCTACGCAGCCTCAATTGCACCTGCAAGCTTATGCCCAGCACAATTGTATAGAATGATTCGGTCTTTAACAGTCTTGCCACAGGGCAGACAAAACACTAGGGAATTGGATATTGGTTGTGAAGCTTTCGTGAGCTATTTTGCAGATAAAGTCTTGTCACTCCGCCACAACCTTTCCCACCACAGTTGAGACAGTGAGCAAACTCGAGGTTCCATGCACGTCTTCTGGTCCCATCCCGGATTATTTCAGTCCACTCAGCCTACAGGAAGTTGACAGATTGATCTCAACTGTACAGCCAACCGCATGCAGCCTTGACCTGTGCCCCTCTTGGCTAATTAAAGCTGGCTGCGAGGGGTTTCAAGGTGCTCTTAGGGATATTATCAACAAGTCCCTCTCTGAGGGGCTGTTCCCGGGGGCTCTCAAGGAAGCAATGGTCCAACCTCTCCTTAAAAATCCATCTCTGGATCCAGCCAAATTGGCTTACTATCAGCCGGTTTCCAATTTGCCCTATTTGGGCAAATTAATAGAGAGGGCCGTAGCGATACAGTTGCAGAGATTTATGGATGACGCTTCCATGCTAGATCCCTTCCAGTCCAGCTTCTGCCCAGGTTATGGGATGGAGACAGCACTGGTTGCCCTCACAGACGACCTCCGGAGGCATCTGGATCGGGGCGGGACAGCAGTGCTGTTGTTGTTGGACCTGTCGGCAGCGTTCAACATGGTTGACCACCAATTACTCGCCCACCACCTTGCTGACATGGGGATTCAGGGGCTTGCCTTGCAATGGCTCGTCTCCTTTCTCCAAGGTTGGGGACAAAGGGTGGCGATTGGGGAGCAGCTATCCCGAAGGCACCCACTAATTTGTGGAGTGCCTCAACGGGCAGTGCTTTCCCCAATGCTATTTAACATCTATATGCGCCCCCTTGCCCAGATTGCCTGTAGGCATTGGCTAGGATGTCACCAATATGCAGAAGACACCCAGCTCTATCTGCTGTTGGGCGGTCAGTCTGACTCTACCTCTTAAGAATGGAGGCCCAGGTAGCAGCCACTGCCAAGGCAGCCTTTTACCACCTTTGGCTGATCAGGCAGTTGGTTCCTTTCCTCGAACGCAATGATCTGTCTTCAGTGATCCACGCAATGGTCACCTCGAGGTTGGACTACTGCAACACTGGTTTTGACCTTTAAAGCCCTTTATGGTCAGGGACCTGCCTACCTGAGGGACCGTCTTTCCCCGCATGCTCCCCAGAGAGCACTGCGATCAGGTTCACAAAACAACTTGGCCCTCCCTTGCCCAAAGGACGCCAGGCTGTCATGTATGAGGACCAGGGCATTTTCTTTGGCAGCTCTGACTTATTGGAATGAGCTCCCTGGTGAGATCAGGGCCCTATGAGACCTCTCACAGTTCCGCAGGGCCATGAAAATGAAGCTTTTCCGGCAGGTACCTTATCAGTCATGCCCTGTGTCGACCTAGAGTTAGAAGTTACCTAGAGTGGTAGCACTGCTAAATGTGTTCTTAAATGCACTTTATTATATCACACCACCATCGTTATATCAACTGTTTTAAATTGTTTATTATGGATTTTTACATTGAGATGTATATTGTTTTATTGGTTTTATGTAAGCCGCCCTGAGCCTGCCTTGGCGGGGTAAAAGTTAAATAAATAAATAATTTTTAATCACTATCCAGGTTCAGTTCCAGGTTTTCTCTTTGGTTTAAATTACTCAAACAAGACTACACCAGAGCTCTTTACTTGTCTCGTATCATCTTCCATATACTTAAGAGAAACCTTTACTGCCATCTTATTTCAAACAGTGCTAACTGCCATGTTAGCTAGTGGCTATTTGCAAAAACCAGTCTCTCAATGAGTGTGTATTTGCAGAGCTCTGGAACTGGAGAACCTCCCCAACCACCTCCTGTTTTGCCATCTTTATTTGGGTCCCTGGTCCAAGTTTCTTGCAGCCATTTTAGCTAGGCTAGTCTTGTGCTCAATGGTGGATAGATTAATCTATCTTCATTCCAATGATGACCTGCATGTTACCTATATGATGTCTTTGTAGGCACTGTCTGCTAAAAAAATTCACATGAAATTTTTGCTTAACATTTAATGCACTCCAATTTATGTTATGTTTTGACTCTGGAAATCTGATCACTTCCAGTTTTATTTTGTTTTATTTATTGTCACTCCTTGGACAGTTGTTTTTGTTATACTGTAACAGCCTTTGGCCATATAGAACAAATTTTACCTACCTATCTATAGAAAGCAGGGTATGTCTACAGCATCAATCTATGTAGCTGGTTTTGGATAATTTCCTGGGTTTAGAAGCAGACAACCTTGGATCCTGTTTTAAATAAGAACCTCTCTGGATGAGAACACACGGCTGTTGTGGTGGTTGTTCTAACACTGTAAGATGTGTATACTGAACAAGTGGATGTCACTATAGCACAGGACCAAGTGTCAGAATACAAGCATTAAGCCATGAATAAAACAAACAACTTCAGAGGTGTTCTTCAAAGTGATCCTTCTTGAGTACTATAACTGCACTAGTTCATACCTTATTATTGTATTAACATGAAAGCTGTTCAAATGCTGGGACTAGCAGGGATAGCGGTGGTGGTGGAGAAAGGTGGGCTACCAGAAAAGCCTACGTGGCATGTGTTTTAAAAATACCATACAGCTGAAAAACAGATGTGTGCTCCAGTGTTATGAAAAGCCCACATCCTTCAAGAGGATAATAAAATAAAAAAGTTAAAGTCCAATGGCACCTTTGAAGACCAACAAAGTTTTATTCAAGATGTGAGCTTTCAAGTGCATGAATAAAACTCTGTTGGTCTTAAAGGTGCCACTGGACTCTGACTTTGTTCTACAGTGTCTCTCATTTAGACTTAATGTTTTTATGCTAACAAGAAAATTCTAATGTGACACATTTCTGCAGGGATTCTTGCTGTATCTAAAAGAGCAGAACAAGCCTCATTTCCTTGTAGTGAACAGTGCTATGGAAGTCCTACCTCATCACCTCTTGTTCTTGCTAGATTTCCCGGAGAGTCTTCGTGTTGTGCCTGAATGGCAGCATGCTCTGGTACTCTGCTTTAATGCAAACAAAATTAAAATCCATTACAATGAGAGACGAAGAAGACTTGTTTCATCTTTTAATTTGTCTAAAATGTGAAAGTAATCCTTATGAAACCACATAGAAAGGTTTCAGATGTCACAGTAAGCTGTTACTGAACTGCAGCTGGGCATGAACACAGCTTTTGCAATATTCCCACAATCCCCTTCCTCTTCCCACCTTCCCCTTCCTCTTGCACACAAAGCTTGATTCAAAACTTCCCACTTGGCACACGCTGCCATTTAGCATGACATCAAAATGGAGGCATTTGGTAAAACTGAAGTTGGCTTACTCCTCACAAACCAGGATTCTGAACTGTGGGTTTAAAATCCCTGGTTCATGTGGAGTAAAGAAACTCTAGTTTGACTGGGAAGCTCGCACATGAAAAGGTCATGGTATACTGGGACAGCAACAAAACAGGCTCGTGCCTGATGACTGTTTCAGTTGTAGCCTGTTGTGATGTCTGAATATAGTCTCATTCTAAAGAAAATGACAGGAAAAAACACATTCGCAAGCATGTGAAGTTCCAGATATAAAACTCATTTTAGGGGCAGTCTCCTTGCTGAATTTTTTCTCATAGTGTTATCTTTTATTGCTTTCTCGAGAGCACGAGGCAGCATTTCAATCAACTGCTCCCTAGTACTTATTCCCCCCTCCCAGGTGCTAGCCTTCATTTTCTTCTCAATCTAAATTAACACTTTTATAACGATAACAACTTTATGTTCTGCCAATTCTTCAACAATAAACTGTTTTTTTTCCTTAGTCATCTGGAGGTTTGGGGGATTGGTTTTTTTTTTGCTATGGCAGCAAAAGCTAGCCTTGAAGGGCTAGTCATTAGTAATATTGATTTTTTTTCTAAATGAACAAAAATAAAATTACAGAATCTAAGACTTGGTTGTATCCACATGGCAAGAATGCTCCATTTCTCTGCCACTGCCACTGCCACCACAAATGCAGAGGAATTTATACAAGAGGTTGTTTTGTATGCACTTTCTTCTGTCAGTTGCTGTGTTCCCTTGCCATGCCACTAGAGATCTTTTTGGAGGTGTCTTAAAAAATGGTAATAGCTGTTATTGTGCTATAGTGCAATTCTGTTTTAACAATCTATTGCCACATTCTACTAGTTCCTCCGAATTTCCAGCTTTCAATAAAAGACTATCTAGCCCTTTTCATTGTGCATAATGAAAAAGGCTTGAGACTTTAATGAAAGCAGAGCATTCACAGGAACCGGTAGACTGTCGCAATACATTGTTATAACATTACTGTGCTATAGTACAGTGGCATTTAATAGGTTTTTTTAAGCCCTCTGGTGGAGGAGGAGGAGGAGGAGATTAGATTTCTACCCTGCCCTTCACTTGGAGTCTCAGAGCGGCTTACAATCTCCTTTCCCTTCCCCTCCCCACAACAGACACCCTGTGAGGTAGGTGGGGCTGAGAGAGCTCTTTCGAGGACTGGCATGGCAGGGAAAATGAAAGCCCAGACAGGGTGATGGAAGGAAAACAGACCGTCAAAAATGCATATTTTCCTGTCCAGACAGCTTGCTAATGTACTTAGACCATGCATCCTGAAAGGTTGTATCAAGTCAGGTTTGAGAAATAACATACCAGGACACAAAACCAGGACCCTGGAAAAGTGGGAGGATGTGAACAAGATGCAATTTAACAAGGGTAAGTGCCAAGTCCTACATCTGGGTAACAAAAACGAGGAACATGCATACTGGATGAGGGATACACTTCTGGGTAGCAGTGTGTGTGTGAACAAGATCTTGGGGTACGGGTGGTCCATAAGTTAAATATGAGCAGCCAGTGTGATGCAGTGACAAAAAAGGCTAATGCAATCTTGGGGTGTATCAACAGAGGCATCACATCCAAATCACAAGATGTCATAGTCCCGCTGTACATTGCATTGGTCAGGCTGCACCTGGAGTATTGTGTGCAGTTCTGGAGGCCTCACTTCAAAAAGGATGTAGACAGAATGGAGTGCGTGCAGAGCAGAGCGACGAGGATGATCAGGGGCCTAGAGACCAAGCCCTATGAGGAAAGGCTGAGGGACTTCAGAATGTTCAGTCTGGAGAAGAGGAAATTGAGGGGGGGGACATGACTGCTCTCTTTAAGTATTTGAAGGGCTGTTATTTAGAGGAGGGCAGGGAGCTGTTCCTGTTGGCAGCAGAGGATAGATTCACAATAACGGGTTTAAATTAAGGGCGGGAAGATACTGTCTGGATATTAGGAGAAACTTTTGTACAGTAAGAATTGTTCAACAGTGGAATCCGCTACCTAGGGAGGTGGCGAGATCCTCCTGAGAGCCAGTTTGGTGTAGTGGTTAGGAGCACAGACTCCAATCTGGGAGAATCAGGTTCAATTCCCCACTCCTTCACATGCAACTGCTGGTGTGACCTTAGGTCAGTCACAAGTTCCTTCAGAGCTGTTCTCTCAAGGGCAGTTCTCAAGAGAGCTCTCTCAGCCTCACCTACCTCACAGGTATCTCACTGTTGTGGGGAGGGGAAGGGAAAGTGATTGTAAGCCGCTTTGAGACTTCTTTGGGTAGTGAAGAATGGGGTATAAATCCAATCTCCTTCTTCTTCCCATCCCTGGCAGTCTTTAAGCAGAAGCTGGACAAACACTTGTCAGGGATGCTCTAGGCTGATCCTGCACTGAGCAGGGGGTTGGACTAGATGGTCTGTATGGCCCCTTCCAACTCTGTGAGTCTATGACAGCCTTGAGAGAGCCTAGAGGGCAATGGCATGTGAATGCTCGAAGGAAACCCCCCCCCCCCAGGGATGCAGTTTGGAAGCCAAGGCAAAAAACCACCTCCATGTGAATGCAATCTTTGGATAGTATTTGGGATGTGCTTTTTAAAAAATACTCCATCAAATGTTGAAGTGAGGCACAGGATACCATAGGAAGAGCTGCACATTAAACCAACACTAATCTTCAGTTAACAAGCAGCACTGTCACATATGAAATGTTCCCATCACTTACGTTTGATTTCCATGGACAGGTGATTCTTCAAGTGAGGATATCTGAGTCGTAGAGCCAAGTTTACGAGGTGTACTTGTATTAATATTTGCATTATCATTGGTTATTCTCTGACTAGAATCTGGAGTGCTAGATACACTTCCTTGGCTCCCATTGCAATGCTGGTTTAGAGTCTGCACATCATTTCCCAGACTGTCCATACCCATGTTTAATTCCCCCAGCTTCTGAATAGACCTGCCAAATAAAATATTGAAACGGTTAAGAGTTAATGGTGCAATTAAATACAGTTGTAGACAAGAATGAATTTGTTTTTCAGGATTACAGAAAATAAGTATCTGCATTCCTATAGAAGGTGAAACAAAACAATATCTCAGGCTATTGGTGGATCTTGCAATATATGAAGTCTAGAACATTTTAGGAAACTTTAGTCCAACTCCTGAAGGTGTCATCTTTAAAATCAACGATAGAAGGGAGAAGATAGACTCCATCTTCAAAGTCAAAGAATTCTTGAGACGTCAGCTGGGATCGGGGGAAGACTCTAAAGAGGAAGAAACTAAGTCAAGTGACTCAGCTGCCTCGGGAATGGATGAGGACTCTGCTGCAGAAGCGGGTGCAGGAGCAATGAAAACTGTATATGATTTTAGAGACAGAAAGCCAAAGTAAGGGCAGAAGGACTCTGATAAATGGCCCTTTGAATCAAAGAAGATGCTCAGAAAGTTCTCTCATAATAACTAATTTACTAATACAGAACAATGTGGGAAACAAGAACTCTACAAGTATATTGTTTTACTAACTCTTTTAATACTAATATTAAGTTTAACATAAAGGGGGTCTCCCACTCTTGGGTTTTTAGTTAGTGTGGGTATCTTTCCTTTATCCATAATTGTAGTTCCCCTTCCTATATTTTTCTTTGTAGTTTGTAGTCATATTGGGGGGGGAAATACCCCTCCAGGGGTTTAAAAAAAAGGAAAAAAAAGAAACTTTAGTCCGTAAAAGCAACATTTCATATCTCAAATTTTGTTAAGTTATAACTAAATAATGCAATTTCCTTTTCTGGACAAACCATATTTAATCTGAACGAAATTATACTGAAACCAAAGTAAGATTAGATTGTAATTTGTTGTTTAACAAATTGCTTAATCTTAATCACATGGCTTAATCTTAATCAACCAAAGACAACCTGTTAAGAAACTGCTCTGTAAGATTCTGTTGCTGGTCTGGACCATCTTCCTGGTTTACCCCTCCTTCTAACAACATTTGCTGATAAAGTTGCCGTTGTTGCTCCTTCTGCTCTAAATGCTGCTGGTATCGCAACCGCTGTCTGTAATATTCCTGAAATTGCTCAGCTGAATCACGAAGCTAGACAAGATTAGACATAATTAATCGTTGTAAAACTGTTAGCTATTATAATTCTCAATAACATTGATTTATCCGCACTCTCCCCCAACAAAACGGAACCCAAAAACACCCATACACACACACTGATGTAACACTGCTTTAGACATTTGTTAGCATCTGCACATTCTTTCTTGCCTGCTCCTTGCCAAAGAATCATCTGGAAAACACAATAGAATTTGCAGCAAGCATCTCCACAAACATAGTTTAACATAAAGGTAGTTTTTCCAGATATCTATGATCCCAGGATCTTAGAATGTTTTATTTGGAGGAAATCTTGCTTAAGGAGACAAAAACAATTTAAATGACATATCATGTGTTTTCTTGCAGGTTTATGAATGAAAACTATTGTTGGTCAAAGTATTCATTACCGTAACTTCTAATAGTGACTTTGCTAGTTCCCTGTGCTTATGAATGGACCGGTGAAACAGGGAGACCTGCACATAGTTGGGAGGTGGAAGAAGAGGGAAAAGAAAGTGAGGGTAGAGGATGTGGATAGTGAGTCTCGAGAAAAACAGGTTGCTTACCTGTAACTGGTGATCTTCGAGTGGTCATCTGTGCAGTCTCACCAATGGGATTATGCGCCTGCGCTGATCCGTATCGGTGGTATGCAAAGCTCACAAAGGGATTTTCGCGCCTCTCCTCCAGGCATGCGCGGGAACCTCACTGCGCATGCCCAAGAGGAGGGGCACGGACATCCCGCCAGTTCCTTCTGACCGCTGTCATGTCAATAACCAGAGAAGAGTACTGAAGTGACAGCAGTGGGGAAGGATGGGCGGGTGGTGTGACTGCACAGATGACCACTCAAAGATCACCAGAAAAAAAAGCCGTCGAAGCCCGGGTGGTAGGCCGAAATAGCTGACAAATATACCCTGAGAGAGGAGTGCGAGAGCCCCTTCTCTGCCAGTGAGAGCAGAAAGTCTAAGACCTGGTCAATCCTGACAGAAGCCGGGGGGACGTCAGCGGGGTGTATGGAGGCTAAGAAGCGGGCCCACTTCCCACTATAGGAATGTCGCGTAGAATCTTTCCTGGCATTGAGTAGCACAGTGTTGATTCTGTCAGAGAAAGTTACTGGGATCCTGAGCCACCCTGCTGCAAAACAGGGTGCACTTCGAGTTGTGTCTGGTGGCAAAGATGTTGACATGAGGCGTGCCCCACTTTGGTCCAGTTCAGCTCCCAGTCATGACGCTGGGAGAGACCCCTGCTGAGCAGGTCCGCATGCACATTTGCCTTGCCAGCGATGTGTGAGGCAATGGGAAAGATGTGCAGAGGCTTGCACCAGGCCCAAAGGTCCAGAGCCAGGAGGCAGAGGCTGCGGGAGACCGTTCCACCCTGCCTGTTGACGTAACTGAGGGCCGTTGTATTGTCAGTTAAGACAGTTACACATTGTCCTGCGAGCAGAGGCTGGAAACATTGAAGAGCCAATTTTATTGCCAACAGTTCCAGAAAGTTTATGTCTCCTTGAGGAGACAGCATCCCACCTGTGACCTATGGAGAGGCCGTTGAGGTGGGCTCCCCAGCCCCACAGTGAAGCGTCGGTTGTGAGGGTGAGAGTAGGAGTGGGGGGTTGGAACGGGATCCCCTCCGTCAGGTTGTCTGACTGCGTCCACCACAGTAGGGAGTCGCGTACCTCTTGTGGTGGGGAAAAAGCAACAGATTGGGACATCCTTAGAGGCTTGAAGTAACAGATGAACCAGAGCTGGAGTGGTCACATTCGCAACTTTGCAAAACGGAGGACTGAGTTGTTGCCGCCATTAGGCCCAGGAGGCATTGAATCTGGAAGGCGGAAGAGGTTCCTCCTAGTTGAACCTGTTCTGCCTGAACAGTTAGGGTTCGTGCCCTGTCCCGGGACAGGAAGGCTGCACCCTCTTGGGAATCGAGTATCGCACCTATGAATTGCACTCTTTGAGAAGGGACTAGGCGCGACGTCTTGTGGTTGACCCAGACAATGAAGGAGATTGAGGGCCTGAGATATCTGACGAATGAGGAGGGCCTTGGAAGGGGCGACCAGAAGCCAATCGTCTAGATACAGGAACACTGTCAGACCACAGAGGCGAAGAGGTGCCACAACAACTACCATCGTCTTGGTAAAGACCCTCAGGGCCGTGCTGAGGCCAAACGGTAGACTCCTGTATTGGTAGTGGCTGGGGTTGGACGATCGACATGCCCAGGGAATGTGCCATCCTCTTGACCAAATCTCCATATGATGAGAGATCCTCAGAAGGCGAGATCGGCAGATTGTCCTATACTGTAGCCTTTGGTGACGGACCTTTAGGCGATTCGGAGCTTTCCGAATCATCAGTGTCGGCATCGGAAATGAATGATACGTGGGTGATACCGGAGCTGCAGGGGTATCCGGTATCGGGGCGACTTACGGTGTGGAGTGGAGAGGAGAGGGTGGGCGACTCTCAGCAGCCTGCATTACAGGACAATTGCACTAGATTTGTGAGGTTCAGAGCCATGTGAATAGAAAGCTGCTCAGTCCTGGAGCCCAGCAGTCTTACACTATCTCATTCAAGAAGCATATGTGGAACTTCCCAACCACCTACAGATCCCTGAGCTTCTGTATGCAGTTAGTTTATTTCAGAAGATGCAATTGTGTAATAATGAAGAAGGAATACATTAAGGGCTGGTAATTCCAAGTTACAGACATACTGTAACTTCATTGAACACACCAAGAACATACTCCTTCACGGCGCACTCTCATACGCCACTTTGATTGCAACCATTCTTCCATGCTGCTCTTCTGGGAAGAGGAAGCAATCAACCAAAACTGGGCATGAAGTCCTAACACTAGGTACCAATGGCAACTTGTTCTGAAACTTTTCCAATCTTGGCGGATCTCCCTCTATGTCCCATTTTGTCTAGTCTTGCTTTTCCATGCTCCTCACACTACACTAGATGGACAGCTTTCAGTTACAGACAGTCATCCCTCTCATAGACCTTGCCTTCCATAAATGCTCTGCGGCATCTTTGCACTCATAAAAGAGTAGGAACATTCTGTTTTGCAATTTTATGATTCCAGAACAGAAATCTGACACACTTCAGTTTATGACTTAGCTTGCCACTCCTATACCATAGTAATCTGTGAAAATATACATTTTGTAGCTATTTACTACTCTAAGTATTAATAAAAGTCACTGCATGTCAAAAATATCAAAGCAAGAGGGTAAAAGAAAACATTTAAAACTCATACACGAGATGCTTTCAAATATTGGGATGGTATGATAAAAATGCAATTGAAACATTTTTGCTGTGTTTTTTTTATCAGCATGGCGGAGTGCCTTGCTAGAAGACCATATTATTCTGCAACTGTATACTAAATCAGATATGCACACCCACCATTCAAACACACAAAAACCCTAAAAAAATCACTATGACGCCCATGAGTTTCTCTTACAACCAACACAGTGCTGCACCAAAAGTTGCAGGTTCTTATTTGGAAGCCATAAAAACATTACCTCATTTTTTTCTTGCTTGACCGGTCCTTGATTCTGTGCTCCATTTACTGGCTCTTTGTCTGGGACTGAGTTCTGGCACATGGTCTCATTGCCAGAGGAGGGCTGGGAATCCACAGGAGTGTCACTTCTTTACCAGTTGCAGAGACAAAAACGAGATTTGACTTATTTCTGTTGAACACCTTATATGTATTTGAATTTAAACATGTATAAAACAAAACCCCACAAGCTTAGAGCAGAAAAGACTTTCTACGAGTATAACAAGACATTCCCTAAATTCACAGCCCTTTCCTATCACTAAAGAACAGGTAAGGGACACAGTTAACTTGCCTTAACCTTCCAGAATAAAAACTCTGGGTACAGGGGAAATGATGTAAAAGGACAAAGAAGGACTCTGAAACTCTACTAACTCTTGAAACGACCAGCAAAATTCATTCACTGGAAAATGACAGGTGACAGTCACCAAATGGCCGTCATTCTCCTGCACATAATGAACTACTATATCAGAAGTAGGCAGATTATGTTCCAGAAGGCAAGTGTTCCATTGCCATATCAACAGTAGCTGAGAGTCTCAGAAATTCTTCAAGAAGTAAAATATCCCATTAAAGCTACAATGGAAGTGGCATAAAGACCCCTAAGAGCAAAAGGTAACAGCAACTAATTTAGGTGTAATGAATTACCAACCATACCAGACAGGCCCAAGACTGAATATTTCCCTCCTCCTCTAGAAATTCCTTTCAATCCAGTCATTTCATAATATTTCTACCCTCTTGTCTTCACTCACTTCCACATTCTCCCATGATCCTATTCTAACTTGATTCCTGGCTGCTATCTCCCCTACCACTATCACTCCCTTAGCCACAACCTATCCTCTCTTCTGATTCTTTCTTCCCTATTAAATTCAAATATGCTACAATTTTCTCCAAAGGGACCTTTCCTAATTACTATCTAATTTCCTACCACTCTTAGCCTCTAAACTCCTGTTAACATTATCTCCAACTCGTCTCCTGAAACCCTATCTGGTGTATATATTCCACCTAAGCTACACTCACTTAATATCAATATGCCTGTGTATTGATTCCCTGACAAACCTAAACACTTCTTCTGTCTGCTAGACTCCCTTCCAATCTTGTGCCAGTTTTCTTCCCATTTGTGTAACTGGTCATTCAACATGCCCATAAGGGGACGTGCCTTCTCATCTTTTCTCTTTTCTATTACAGTCTTTCAGGAATTGGTCTTGGCCATCCTCTCTCTATACACTGTCCCTGGGGGTCCATCATACCACACAGCATTCAGTTCCACCTATAAGACAATGATAAAGAGCTCTACCTATCTATTTCAGAATTTTCCCCATCCATCCAATCCTGCACTGTTAAGGCCCATCTGATATTTCCATCTCTGTTTCATCACAGTCTCAAACTCAGTACACACAATACTAAACCTCTCTTCTTTCCTCTCAGACCTTTCTCAACTCATACATTCTCCACATGCCGGACGCTGATCAGGAAGGAAGCCTGTTTTATCTCATATACTCCTTTCTCCTTCAGTTGGCATTGTCAGACTGTTGCCATTATATTGCTGGGTCTTGTACAAAATATTAAGATCACAGGCTGCCTTCCTGACAAAAACTTCGGTACATACTATAGTCACTGCTTGCCATGATTACTGCAACTTTCTTCTCTGGCCTGATTGTCACTTACATTCAAAACTCTGCTGCCAAAATCATTCCTCTCTTCCATCATTCTGACCATGTGATGCTACTACTGGCTCTCTGTCTGCTACTAGATCCAGTACAAACCAATCCCTGTCTTCAAAGCAATCATGATCTTGACCATCCTTATCTCTCCATCCTCATATCCCAATACATCCCTGCACAAGACATTTGGTCTTCCAGTTCCATCACGGAGGAGGAGGAGGAGGAGGAGGAGGAGGAGGAGGAGGAGGAGATTGGATTTATACCCCGCCCTTCACTACCCAAGGGAGTCTCAGAGCGGCTTACAAACTCCTTTCCCTTCCCCTCCCCACAACAGACACCCTGTGAGGTGGGTGGGGCTGAGAGAGCTCTGACACAAACTGCTCTTTTTCAAGAACAGCTGTGCCAGATCTTGTGACTGACCCAAGGTCACATCAGCAGGTGCAAGTGGAGGAGTGGGGAATCAAACCCGGTTCTCCCAGGTTAGAGTCCGCACACTTAACCACTACACCAAACTGGCATGATGAGTCATGTGAAGGTGTTCTGCTCCCTCCTTTTGCCCTTGCTGTCCTTTATGCCCAAAACTTCCTGAAAGAGCACCTATTCCTCCAAGTCTGTCCATGAAACTTACTTCTTAAGTGAAGCCATTAGCTTTGTCTTCATTTCTTTGAAACTGAGCCTAAATAACAATAACCAAACTGAATATATATATTCCTCCCAATACTAGTCTCTCCTTAGATAGATTTTGTGTCATATGTTGCTTGGGGTAGGAGCCTGGCTTTTTGTTTGTTCCTCTGTAAAGCACACATACGCAGTGTAGGTAATAAAAAATAAAAAACAGGACTCTAGTTCATCTTGGACAAGGACCTCAGTGTCAGAGTTGGAGACACTGGTGCAACAGTCGCTGGCTGGGAAACAGGCAACAAATTTAGAGACTGGGCCTGCTCAGGTACTTTAGTGTAATATCTTTTGCCATCTTCTGAGTGCTTCTTCTTCGCCAGAACTGGAAAAAAGGATGAGGATTTAACATTTATGTGCCCTGGAGAAGCTCAAGAACAATTGGTCTATGTCTTGTTCCAAATCTGAAGAGGTGAACAAGAATCCTAGCCCTCAGAAAAGGCCACTCAGAAGTTCCCCAACACTGCTGCAGTGGTGGACAAACTGAACAGGAGGCACAACTCTGCCCCTTTGGGTATGTATGATCAGAACTGCATCTTTGAGGAAAGAAGATTTTCAACCTGAAGGCTCAATCTAGACATTTTCAAATCACAACAGAGGCCATGAAGCACTAATAAAGCATTATATGTTAGTTCCCACTAAGATCAGAGGCTAAGATATTGACATAAAGGAAAATCGGTTTTAAAGAATTATTCTACAGAGTAATCTCAAAAACTAACTTCTTCATATAAGTAAGGGTGGTTAAGTGCAACTTACCGTTCAGGTGACTCTTCATAAATGCTGTGGCAGTCTGTGTTCTCCAGCATTAGACTCCGAGTAAGATTCTGTACTCCTGGGTAATGGAAGTTAGCAAAAGAGTGGGACATAGGAGATGTTTTTGTTCCAAGGTCTGTGATGCGTTTATCATTTGTTAATCCACATGAGAGTCCATCTAAAGCAGGATTTAAGGAACGGGTCATATAAGCATCAGCAGATTGAGGCCTTCTCATGGGGGATGATGGGTAAGGAGAAAGTTTGCTGATAAGGGGTGTCAAAAGGTCAGCATAGGCAGCTTTTGTAGGTTTTAGGAGCTTATCAACATGAATGTTTAGCATCTTTTGTTCAAAAGCACAAGAAAACACAGTGGAGGGCAGATTCTGAAGCCATGACAACAAGCTAAGGTCCAAATCATCACATCCATTACCACACAAAAGGTCAATGCCGAGCAACACCTCACTCTCTGTAATTTCCTCTCCTGTTGCTTTACTCTGACAGAACTCCACACAACATTCATACAGTAGCCCTTTCATCACAAGTTGAAATAAACGATTGTTGCTTGCTTTAAAGCCAGCCTCACTTAGTTTTCT